TAAACAATACAATTAATGTTACTTATTACTAAGTCCAGGATTCTATCATATTGGTTATGAATATTATTATACTGTTTCATGTTCCAGAAGTTGAGCCAATTAACAATGTAGCGGGTCTTTGCATCATTTAAATTATTTTCCATAAAGTTTGGAGAATTGAAATCACCCAGAAAGACAACACGTTTGGAATGCATGATTTCCCAGTTTTCTAACATTTCAAAAAAAGCTTCAAATGTATCAACAGAAACATGTGGTGCAGCATATATGACAGCGAAATAAAGATTCTGATGAGATACAATGCATTTGCATACCAAAAAATCTATTTCTGGGAAACGTGTATCAAACTGCGTAGTATCTACTACAACAGAGTTAAGAGCCGCTTCAAATGCCAGTAGTACACCACCACCCATTGACAGGTTCAATTGATTATGTTTTCTGTCCTTACGATGAACGTCAAAAGAATTGGGAAATAATTCGAGAGAGTTTACTTCGGGCTTTAGCCACGTTTCGCTTAAAGCAAATACATTATACTCACAGTCACTCACAGCAGGATAGAATTTGTTAATTTTGCTGTTTAGCCCTCTAACATTCTGATAGTACACTGTCAAAAAATCACTACATCCACTATTGGGCCGACCTAGTTTAAAGGAACAATCCTTGGTACATTGTTGATGAACTTGATCCTACAGTTATTATCTCCTGCTTCATGACGCCTGGCTAACTCAGTTCTGATACTTTTATAATGCTCCATTTGCCTTTTGGTGCGATCCTGTACGATGTTTACATGCTTGAAGGTATTACTTGATTTAAGCTTTTTCGCATTCACCAGAACCTGCAATGCTGAGTTATAGCTGTCAAGTATTACCTTGATGGGTCTAACTTTTGTGCCGCAAAACATTCCTAATCTCATCACTTTTATGTAGGTTACCCTCACGTCAGGGACAGCTTCACGTAACAAGTTGACGACAACTGTTTTATCAGATTCATTTTGCTCACTTCTGGCTTTTTGATCAGGCTCAGTGACATTAAAGACTATTACGTTGTTTCTACGTATTTCACGCTCTGAAATCTCAGATATGATGTCTTCCATGGAAAAACTTGAATCTGCATTTTTGGTGTTATCAGTTTTCAAATCCTTTATTTGATTACGCAAATCGATGATTAATGCCTTCAAGTCATTAATGTCTTTACCTATGGATCTGCAGTCCTTACAGGATAAAAAATCACAAATGCATAGAATCCTAAGAATGTTGTTGGATGTCCAAGATAAGAATCCTATGCATGGGTGTCTGCAATCTTTGGGGCGTATTTACATACCGAAAAAAATTTCGTGGCTTACGAGGTATTTGGGAAAAACAAAAATTTTTCCAAATCGTTTTTATTTTTTCTGAATTTATTTTAAAATATATCGAAAAACTAATGGATCTTTTTTATTGGTACCTTTAAGGCAATTTCCCGACGTTTCGTTTTTGAGACAACTATAGCAACTTTATTTTTTATATGGGCCGAAAAAAAGTACACCCTGTATCTGATTTTTTGCCGATACAATATGTAACATTTATTTGATTTCTTAGTTATAAAGATGTGTTTTTTTTTTTAATTTTTTATTTTATCCAAGTAGCCGTTGAAAAGAAATGCTTGATGTAAGATTATGTGTCTACTGATATATGCATATTACATAATGATGGGTTAAAATTTTATAAAATGATGCCTATATCTAAGGATTACAAATACATTTTTAACATTATTTTCATTTTATTTACAACAGATGTTCAAATAGGTTGCCATTATTTTCTTCCTTGGAAGGCATTCGGATTGTCAGCACAAGTCAAAACTGAGAAATTAAAAAAAAAGTATTTTGACTATCTGCCGATTATCAGATCGCAATTTGAAGACCATTTCTTAATTCTTCATACAAAATTACTTCTGAATAGTCATGTCTTACAGAGCCTAATGATTTCCAATATCAGAATTAACGAGAAAATGGAAATTCACATTTTTTCCAAACAATGAACGTGTCTCCAGAGCAAACTGTTTCACCCAGGAGTTTGAGATTTTACAAAGTCTCATGCCTCCACAAGTTCAACACATTCAAGAGACAAATGTGAGCCCAATATGCGATATGGCCTGCCCTCCAATATTATGAAAATGGCGAAATTTGGTCCAACATACCGAAAATTAGATCCAAACACATATCCGACTAATTTAAACGCCGCAGGCCAAAATTTCATCTATATAGCCAGTTAGGATGTTCCATCTCCTTTACAAAAAAAAATAATAATTTAATGCATTTTTCATTTAGGAATGCATTCGAATATTGTCGGCCCAATAAACCAGTGAAGAATTTCAAGAAAATCATTTTTGACTGAAATATCTACTCGACGAATTATCATATCGGACCTTGGAGATCATTTATGATTTCATTGGTTAATTTTACTTCATAGTAGTAGTGATATATTATGGGGCCTAGTGCTTTCCACTGACATGAGTACCTACCTAGCGAAAAAAAAGAAAACGTTAAAATTCACATTTTCTGCCGAAACCACCACCCCTCCCCCCCTTATGCCTCCACATTTTGAGACATGACCCACGAAGCCAGATCCTGGAATTTTAGTTTTGACTTCTGTATTTTCAGGGAGATTTTATGACATCTTTGATGAGAGTCATGACACACTGACATTACAGTGATTATGACCTAAAGTCTAAGGACCTCCGGACCGCCTTGAGAAGCAACGATTATTGCAGGTAAAAATGTTTCTTCTGTATCCTCTAGAACCCTAGAGGGATGGTGTTGACCTGCGTTTCAATATAAAATTACAGATATCCCACAAGAACATAGGACAGGATACAAGGCTTGGGGTCATAACACCATAAATAAAAACGAAGACAATCTAATTTCTTATCCCATATGCGGCTCAAAAAACGCATCAATATAGACTTTCTAAGAATCTCACAGGATGTTACGCAATTTTTATCCTTACAGCCATTTACTATAAAGATCAATAGAAGCGTCTTTGACGGCTTTCTACAACAACAACGTTGTCAAGTTGTAATAAAAAACGAGTTTTTCACTACTATCCATTCTACAGTCATCAAGATGCAAGAAAAACCTTGATCAGGTGCATGCGCCTCAGTACAATAGGTTTTGTCATTTTCTTGCAACTTCCATATCTTGCAAAGTATACATACATAGGTTTAATCGGTTTGTGAATTGTGTGCTTATATTTCGCGAGACATATATGTTTAATTTATTTAGGTTGGCTAACTTTGTGAGTTTGAATCAAGATCAGCTATCTAATGTCCAGACAAACATTTTAGGAGACCATCCTACAACTGCAGGTTATTACATGCAAATGTCTTGTGGATTGTAAAACTGTTATAAAATCTCAGATAAGGTCACCTCACTTCAGTTCACTCGGTTGAATGTCACTGGAGCTTAGAGTATTTGTTTTAGAAGTGAGTCAGGCAACAGATTTGACCGCCTCATGTCTGATTGACTGTCTCACTTGTAAAACTAATGCAACATACTAATATAAGTAGTTCAATAACTATGAACAGTAGATAAATTTGGATGGATACCTAAATGTTGGACAGTGTGATGGAAAACAGTGTACTATTACATTCTTCTGATCAAAATGTTATCTATTTCCATTCAAACGGACCATCTCGTCCCACCGTATAAAAACTGGTGTACTAAGATAAAAATCCTAGAGATATGGCAGCGCCGCATAGTGAACACGCAAACGTGACGCAAACTGTGCTAGATATATATATATGGTTAATTTACAAAATATTTTTAATGAAAATTATACTTACAACATATTTACTAAGTAGAGTCGGCACACTTTCGTGTGCAAAAAAATAGCGGCTAGTACCCCATAATCACTAGGCTTCCATATTTGGAGGCAATTTTTACAACACAACTTCAGCTACCCATGGATCAAACAAAAATACACAGAACAAGAAGAAGAGAAAACAAGCCTGACGTCACGCCACACGTGTTGTAATGTAATGCGGGTCCCACACGATTCTTCCAACGTTGTTTACAACGTTCGACACCCCACAACTGGCAAGTGTGTCTCCTACTCTACAACTAAAGGAAAAATTATATAAAATAAACGATGAAACAAGTTTTTCAAGTGCCGAAAAATAAATTCTGATCTGTCCTCAGCGATCAAGACTTAATTCTATCACAAACCTCAAAAATTTCGAAAAATGAAGTTTGACCGTTTTTTGTGTTTTTCGACGATAGCTCCACCGGTACCGGTTTTTAAAAACTGCAGAGCTTTTTCATTTTCATAGTAGTAACCTAAGGTCAAAATCGTGATAGTACTTTCAGAGTTATCATTTCTTTAATCTTTTTCATTAGTCATGAAATGCAAGTCAATATATTTCTCAACTAGTCTTGCATTGCAACAGGGCATTATAATGAAACAACTGTAAGCACTTGATAATTTATTAAAATACATATCCTTAGGCCAGCCATAACTCACCTGCGAAACATACAAAATATTAGCAACATTAAAAAAGTGCTGTTACGACAGCCTATGTTTTGTATGTATACTAACTTAATTCATTCTTCTCAAAAGTTAGTTACGGAACATACATTATTATGAATAGGTACGAATTCGTATCAAAATATTTCGCACATACCACTACTTCACCACAATCACAGCAAACAAATAAATAATGTTTGTCGCCGCTACTGGTTCTGACCTAAAACCATCAAACACCTGACATCTCGTGTGGGAGCGTAACGAACCATGCTACCAACGTTGTAACGTCCTTTGACGCTGGTCAAATTTACCGACAAGAGCCCGAACGTGCCATGTGGCGAACGTTGGACATATGCAATCCGTCAGCGCCCTCCCACACGACGCGTAGCGAATTGCTATGTATCCAACGTTGTAAGGCATTCGCCACATCGTGTGGGATCGATTTAATGCAATGCCCGTAAATTATGAGCGAGATGGGGTCAATGTCGATATTTGTAGTCGATACTCGATATATATCAACTTGACAGTCTTGATCTCTGGACACTTAACCTGACTATCTGACTAGTGTTTGTAAATAAACAGTTGACTTTCTGGGTACCAGTTGTGATAAGTGGAAAAGAAAAAATGCCCCAAGAATACGATTCAAGAGCAAGTCTTCACTTAGACGTAAACCAGGGACTTGATCGGTGCGCACCAATTCAAAATGGCTCTATACTCTTTAAACTGCTGCTCCTTATTTTTAGGGTAACTGAATTGGTGCAAACAAGACTCATCGAGAGTGGATGGAGAGACCAAGTGAAGCTGCATTGCCGTAAAACAATCCTGGAGAGCGCGAATAGCAAGCATGTCCCTACAGTTGACGAATTGATAACCCAAATCACGCCAAAAGCCAGAGGAATGGTTCCAGATGCTGTCAAAAGGGAACTTCTACATGAGCTGGAATTGATTCTCATGAATGTGGATAGAACTGGATATGCCAAGAACATTTAGAACACTATAGAATGATTAGGTACTTTGTTTTGCTTATATAGAACAATAGGTTGATCAACAATAAATATTATTTGATACCTGACCCCAAAAATTTTTGTTACCCTTCAAACCAAGCACTGCAAGGACCTGCTGCCTCTAAATGGAAACAGATTTTTCTATGGTTAAATCTTCAGGTACTTTTTGCTGTGCAGCCTTAGAGAGAAATCTGATATAAACCTGGCACCTTCCCCAAGTAGGGCTCTCTCACCCTTGTTGGTATTAAATATTCTAACCAACAAAATTTAGAATTTCCAATAACATTTACCTCAAAATTCATTTCCTAGCCCAATTTTAAAGTTCAGAAGTTTTACTCAACAATACCAAGTCACCCATCCAACTAATGCACTTCCTCCTCTTTGCTCTTGATACAAGGAGCACTGCTTGACCACCAGACAAATCACACACTCTGACAGACAATGATGAATAGAGATCAAATATTCTCTTTTTAGCTCAAGTGTTTGCATTTGTATCTACATCAGTCAAGGCAGTTGATGATTGTCTCATGTTACAAGGTAATTTGACTTTACTTTCCTCATGATGCTCGTGAAACTATCAGGAAGTATTTAATATAAATATGTACCTTGGAGTCACCTCTATGACAGCAAGCTAATGTTTAACAAGCCCATACTTGATCTCATCAGCTACCACTAGGTTACTTGGCTTCTGGAACAGAAACTGGGAGAGCTTCTCCAATGACAATACTTTAACAACTTTATTTTTCACTTTTGTCAGCAATACTCGTAGTTGGAATATGCAACTCTGATATACCAAAATTTTGTTTTTTATTGTTGAAGCCAGAATGTAAGGCCATATAATATTTTTAACTTGAATGTACTAGTTCTTATCCATATTATCATATTCCACACACTTTGTACATTTGACCTTAAAACTTAGAATTATAGAGAAATATCTTCAACACACTAGATCGCAATGTTGTCAAACGAGTGACTAACTTGATCCACTTATTTTTTTTATTATACATGTTTGTAGCTAGCTTTTATTCTCAGAGGGATTAACTTGTGCCGAACATATCACTGAGTGATGATTCTTGGCGCTATTTTTTCTTTGTGGATCGAAACATGTTCCTCGCTTTGCATCCTCATTATTCTTTTTTGAATATCCATTTCCTGTGGTAAACTATTTTCCTTGTAAGAAACTAAAAAGCAATACTTTCGAATTAAGACAGTATTGTAGTTACACTGATCACTGAAATCTTTGTGAAGTGAAACTTGGGCAGTACAGTGTGTACAATTAGTCACAAAAAATGGATTGCATTTTTTTCGTTGCTTCTTGTACACATAACAAAATAAGGTTTAATCTTAGCGCTCTAATGATTTTCATGTTTTTATGCTCTAAAAGACATATAGAAAGGTTTGTATCTATTTATCGTGAGCAATTCTCGACAATGTAACAAAAATATACATATGTAGTACATACAGGGTGGCGCATCGAAAACGAAACAGACGCATTTACTGGCAGCTCATTTTTTTTTTTGAAAAACGCTCAGACCCGTCGATTTTGTTTTCGAGGAGGACACAAGTTTGGAAAAAATCACGTTAACACGTGCAGCCCCCTGGGCGGGGGTGACACCAACCCTAAAATCTTAAATGGAAAGGGGGGCGAGTGATACCTCATTTTATAGGTCTTTCAATTCCCTTTATAATGATGTAAAATAAATGAGCTTCAGTTCAGTACTTTTGAAGATTTATTGATTTAAAGCGTAAAGTAGACTTTAATAGGTACATCAGATTAGTTTGTACTACTTTCAGAAGAAATTTGTCTAGAAGAATTTACTTAATAAGTAAATGCTTTTCTTCGCTACGCCCATGGTTTGTTTATCGTTTTGTTGTTAAAAATAGCTATTGGAGCGTTTTTTTGTGGTAAAAAAGTTATTTCTTGAAGGAAGATAAGGAGATATCTCGTACTTATTTTAAATAGGAATTTAGTACATAGTTTGCAATTGATTTAACCAAACTTTGTTGCTAAAATAACTTGTAACGCTTTATTACATAAAGAGCAGAAAGAGTTGAAGTTATCGAAATATTTTTCGGAAATAATCAGTGTGCTAATAGAACAGCAGAAATATTTAATGAGCGACATGAGAACAGTAACGTGCATCCAAAATATGTTCTAGAACTTGTAGCTAAATTTCGGGAAACTGGGTCAGTCGCCAATAAAAAACGCAACATTGAAAATCCCATAAGGAACGAAGCAATAGAAGTGGGGGTTTTAGGGCAAGTTTATGTAGATCCTACGTTAAGTACCCGCAAATTAGAGACTGTGAGTGGTGTTAGTCGACGTACTGTCGAACGGATTCTAAAGGCCCATAGTTTCCATCAGTATAAAATTCACCTGGTACAAGAACTTAATGAACATTTTCTATTCAGCACTTGCTTTTCCGACGAATGTTCCTTTTTCTTAAATGGCGTAGTAAATCGTCATAACTGCCGATATTGGTCCGATTCTAATCCCAGAATTTATCATGAGGTTCATATACAGCAGCCACAAAAATTAAATGTTTGGGCTGGTATTTTTGGCGATCATTTAGTTGGTCCTTTTTTCTTACCTGGAAATTTGACCGGTGAAATGTATTTGGAATACATAGATCCTGCATTAACAGCCATAATTGAAAATCAGAATGATCGGCGGTACATTGCTAGTAGGTTGATGTTAGAAGAGGGTGGTGCCCCACCACATTACGCATTACGTGTTCGACAATATTTAGATCAGACGTTTCCAGATCGATGGATTGGTAGAAGAGGTGCCATTGAATGGCACCCAAAATCGCCAGATTTATCACCTTTGGATTTCTTTATGTGGGGTCATTTAAAAAGCAAAATCTATGCTACACAGCCAACATCATTAGAAGACCTGCGACAAAGAATTGTGAATGAGTGCCTTCAAATTACTCCTCAAATATTGCGAAATGTGCGGCAACGTTTTGAGCAAAATCTTTATTATTGCATGGAGAGTCATTGTGGTTATTTTCAACATTTACTTACCTAACGGGTCAGTTCATTCTTCATTTTTAAATTACATTGCTGCCAAATGAAAGAATCTCCACTAATGATGATGTATTAGTTTTATTTAAGCTTTAAATCAATAAATCTTCAAAACTACTGAACTGAAGTACATCAATTTTATATCATTACAAAGGGAATTGAATGACCTTTAAAATAAGGTATCACTCGACCCCTCTTTCCATTTAAGATTTTGGGAGTGGCGTCACCCCCGCTTAGGGGGCTGCACGTGCTAACGTGATTTTTTGCCAAACTTGTGTCCCCCTCGAAAACAAAATCTACAGGTCTGAACGTTCTTAAAAAAAATGAGCTGCCAGTAAATGCGTTTGTTTCGTTTTCGATGCGTCACCCTGTATATGAATGCCCAGCAATATCACACCTTTGTAATATTACTGTTCTAATGGACCTGTGATCATAATCTTTATTTCTAAAAAAGTGTGAAAGCATCGACTCGGTATCTACCACAACTCTAATAGGATGATTCCAAAAAAACTGGAAACTATTTTTATATAAGTTGTTATACTAATGCCAGATGTAAAGGTGGAATTACTGTCACTTTAGAACTGGAATGAAATTGATTGCTCTATAAAATATTTCTGTTTAATACTTTAATACTAATTTCATATCAAATTTTGGACGTAACAGAGCCGAGATACTAATAGAACGAAGATGAACGTTATCAAATTTGAATGATGACGATATATAATTTGATTTTTTCTAAGGAATTTATTTTTAAATTTGTATATATGCAGCTATCGTGATATTCTTTCTTCTGTTCATTATATGATATTCTTGTGATAGACAGCACTATAATGTTACACTCTGTACATTTCTATACATGTATATAATGGGTACAGAATAAAATGTTTTCATTATGTTGACGTCTTTTAGTTCCATATTTCTTAATTCCGAGAAGCAATTGAGTGATCAGTTACTTCTGAATCTAACCCTTTAGAATGTGTTTTGTGAAGTTATATGGAATGTAAAAATTATGGGATAATTGCTCTTCTAAAACTGCAGCTTGTACAGTTAGGTGTTTTTCGAAATTCTTATTTCGACGGAATATTAATATTTTGCATGCATGAAAGGTACACTACTCAAACAAATTAATGGAGCAAGAAAAACGTTCAAATTTTTGGTCATTTTTGACAGGCTGTTGACTCTGCACTTCCCTCGCAACACTGTGATCAATTCATAAATGATGTTCGGTACAAGTACATGTATAACAAAAAAGTTAAATGGATCAAATTAGCCAAACAGGCACATACCAAAGAGTATTTTGTTATGTTCATGCAAGTTCTAAGACCTATTTCGTGAACTGATTTGCATTCAGAACGCCATTCAAATTCCAACCCATTCTCACTTGTGCATACAAGCTAGACATGCGCACCAAAAGGAAAAGGAAGTCAAAACGAGGAAGTATCCATTTCAAACTTCGTCTAGGATTCGCAAAAGCAGCAAAAATCGTTGTTAAAGCCATTTATTTGATCCAGAACTCTAATCTGTCGCCAGAACAAGTGTTCTTCAATTTTTAGTCATCGCTAACATTCCCCCCTAGACATATTCCTAAATAATCCGCCCTTGGTGGATTTCTTGGTTTTCTTAGTATCTAGTTGGGAATCAAATGATGAAGATCAATCGTAAATTTGATCCAGTTAAGATGTCTTGTGCCGCACTACCTTCCTTATAAGACACTTCAATCGGATTTATCTTTTTCGACTACGGCAGTTTATGATCTAAGCATGTGCCTTTCTGCATTCCAACACGCATTAATTAGACATAATGTTTTCTTAAGCTTTTTTACCAGGAACAAAGTCACGACAAGTGTCTGTGCTTACGGTTAAAAACTGGTTCGGTGTATAAAAATGTACCTGGAAACAGAATACCGAGTACATCTCATCTAAGAGTAAATCAGATTTTAGCAATCAAGTTTAGTCAAATAATTACTGAATTATTTATTTTTTTTAAATGCACGTATGTGGCTTTTAGAGCGTTCAGTCCTACTTTTCAGCTCACGGACTCCTGTAAACGATCTTCAAAGTTATATTACCGTCCGTTATATACAAATGAACCTTTGTTGAACACAATATACCTACTACTGTCATACGCCAGAGCGCAGTAAGTGCAAAAAATGCGAAAATGAGATATTGAGCCGTATTCATGAAAACAAGGATATCCTTGTATTTGCAAATTTTGAAGGAAATCCTCCAGATAGTATTTATAATAATTTGAAGTAAATGCTTTTGCTTTTTGAGTATAAGCATATCCTTCAAAGCAGTGACATAAGTAAAAGGATATTCATAATCTTCACCTTATACTTGGCATAGGAAGCATATCCTTCAAAACTTCTGAATGTGGTCAGTAGCAGACTCAACTTCGTAACGAAAGATGAATATGAAGGAAATCATGAAAATGACGAACTTCCTCTCCGCCAACTAGGTCAACAAATAAGAAGAAACTGGAGTATTATAATAAATAGTTTTACTGATTAAAGTGTATTTATAAGTTACAATAAGTTTTAGTTTCGTAAACATCATAAGTTACAGGTGGCTTCTGAAAAAAGTAGACAATGTAAAGAAATAAGGAATATATCAGTTTTAGATGTGCAGATATTAAAGAAGAGCTAATCTAGATCTTTCGTGTTTGTGAGACGTGAAACTGATCAGTAGCCGACATCTTTGTTTGTTTATAACCTTTGACATTACCCGCAACATATCTAGTGCCATCTACCTCCAGCTTTCCAGATTACATCTCTATTCGGCTTTCCTATTACACCATTGTTCAATGTTTACTGTGCCGGTGACAGTAGTAGACGTGTCAGATATTTTTTCATACGTAAAATTCAACCTTTTCATCTGAATCTTTTACAGACCCAAAAATGGAGAAATTAATGAAAATGTTGGGCGTGGAAATAGAGGTAGAAGTGAAACCCCCAAGTTGTCAGTTCCTGACTACTTATAAGAAAGACTACATAAAGAGACCCATCAGTTATGAAATACATGATGCCACACCGCAAGAATTCAAAGATCCAATGACTGAAGGATTCAAAAAGTATTTAGTTATTGATCAAAAGGAAGTTGAAGCACCGTCTGAAGACGGAGACCGGTATTTAGAGAAGGTATCGTTATTTTGCATTTGGGTGTATTACGTTAGATAGAACATATGAAACCTATCATGTGATTGTTTGTCTGATGAATCTTCATATTTCTCTGGCGAGTGAATAAAATCACAGAAGCAAAATTGAAAATTTATTAATGTTTCGGCCACCTCGGTGGTTTTATTTCGCAGGCAGTGAAACATTCATCACTTAGTTAATTTTGAAAACGTACATTGCACCAAGAAGTAGCCCTTCCTCGCTTCCTCCTCTGTTGAATTAACGTTTTTTGTATGGTAATTTATCATAATGTACAGGGGCGGATCTAAGATGACGCACATAAGGCACGGTGCACTAAGCACCGGGACGCCAGGGGCACCCACAACGCGGTCCTAGGGACCCCAGAGAATCATGATGCCGCTGGCTTCAGGCGCCAGAGAGCTTAGATCTGCCATCGATAATATAATTCAGGCAATATTTTCTAGTTCTCATAGATAGGAACACCTTCAATGATTCATCTTTAGTTAGGTAGCGTGAGATTTAGGGGATACTGACTAGTTCCAGGCTTGTAAAACCTTATAGACCTATGAACTGCAAGGTCCAAGTTCCTACAGACCACTCCGACGACCAGCAATGTGGCATGTTATGTCTGGAACACCCTGTATAAATAAAATAGTTCGGTACAATATATTAGCACATTTTATTAAAACTGATTCGCACGCACATGGTAAATGCCCCTTGCACGTCCGTGGAGGTCGTAGTTACCTACCAATAAATTATCAAAATATGGAGCATTTTTGCAAAAGAAAAACGAACATTTCGAATATTTCAGAAACCGCTATTTAGTGACAATCTTACCGAAACCTATATTTTTATTGTTTAACAGTATACATTATAAAGACAGGTAGTTCCATAAATAAAAAACGTTTGGGTTTTTGTAGCTTAGTTGTTATTACTTACTCTTTTTTACTTCCGTTTATTAATTTTCCTTATATCGCATAAGGTCTACTAAAGCAGATCTTCTGAGATAACCGTTACAATCGTGTGACAACACATATATAGGGTGTCCCAGAAATAACAGACCAGAGTGACATGGAAGGTAGATTGGCTTCAGATCAATCAGGTAAAATCAACATGACCTTAGTAAAAGTTTTCTAGTTTTCGAAATATTGACACTTTGTTTTTCATCACTACCTTTTGCTCCCTTTTTGCCTTTTATGGCTATAAAGAACTTCTAACTTATGATTTTTTCCTAAGCTACCATTAATAGTAGGTTGAGATAACCGAGTATTCATTTCATTAAAAACTAGCACGGTATGCTAAAAAAAATAAATTGTTACATTTTGTTTCAATGTGTAATGCTCTTTTAAAAATAGTATAACAATTGAATAGCCCCAAGTTTTAGTCGTAATACTTGCGAAATACTGCAAATAAAAGATAAGTGCAGCCGTGTTCTGTAATCAAATCACTAGGGAATGAAACGACCTAAACATGTCATTGATTATCTCGCTCTCACATTCATTGTTCGGTGGTAGCATTATGTCACCACGAGAAACACAGGTGGTACCTGCTCACCGCAAGCGCAGGATTAATTTAATACTGCTCCTTGTGTTTAGTGCTACACACGTGTAATAAGAACGACTTGAAAGTAGCAATATCTCCAAAAACAGAAAACGTTTACATCATGTTGATTTTATCTGATTGATCTGAAGCCAATCTAGCTCCCATGTCACTCTGACGTGTTATTTCTGGGACACCCTGTATAATAGGATTGAAGTATTTATCAGCCTATACTTGCGACACGTTACGTTTTCAAAATTCTTATTAACCCTGTATTTTCGAAACGAAAACGATTTAAGGGTAAAGAATTAGTTCTCGATTTTTTAATGAACATACTTCAAAAAAAAAGTTTCACTCAGAATTAAAGAGTGATGTATAATATTGCAAGAATATTTGAAAATAAAGATCTGGGATTTTGGGCTTGCTGCCAATAATAAACAAAGTCCTATAGGACTTTGGCAAAGAACTCCCTTTCTTTAGTTCGCACTTTTGCTGTTACGTAGTAGATGCAAGGCCAGTAGTGCAATGTATGGCAAATCTCCAAAATTCATCCTCTTAAAAATATCGATTGTATGGACGTATTTATTTCTTACAAAAAATTGTAAACAACTTTATATACGAGAGATAGTATATGAACACGTAATACAATCGATATTTACGTGCATTAAACTCACTTTCTAGCAAGTTTTTGTACATGATAGTGTGCTACTTATTATGTATTTACATTTACTATAGAAGAGGCGAAAAAATTAGAGAAAAATTGATAATGACTTTTGACCACAACAAAATAAGTCAATCTTGACATTACGAGCTCAAAGCTAACACAGAGCTTACCTAGCCTGCTCTAAAGACATTCCGCTCAGGAAGATCAGAAAAATGCTCAATATCCAACTGGAAAATACTCCACTCGCCTTTTATGAACAACCACAACACATTCTCATACACAATTACTACAAAATCACTCACACCACCATCGCGACACTGCGGTAAATCGCCGACAAAGACTTCCCGGCACACAACGAGTGGAACAGAAGCAGAGCGTTGTATGGAGGGCTCGACACACCACGCTCCCCAAACGCCAACCGACAACTGAAAAGATGCGGATTATCCCGCAGCGTGTAGTACGCCGGTACCGCTATTCGTTCATTGGTTGGAATTTAGTCAGGCGTTTTTTCACCATCCAATCTCTTTTGGGTATTTACGTAAACATTAGAACATCAGAAAAACGTATCACAAAAAAAGAAAAGAAACAAATAGATAGATCATCCTACCTCAAAGCAACTTAAACGCATAAATTGTCCATGATTTTCCCAACAGATCATTTTAAACGAAAAATTAAACTTTTTATTATTTTCAATATTCCTGATATTAGAAGGAATCAAATTGTAAAATTTAGGTGCAAGATATAATTATGGGACGCATAATTTGTATTTAATTTCTTATTTGCATGTACAAAAAACTACATCTACCTACTGCAAGGATATATTTATAAGATTTTAATATTGTTAATTTCTTGCATAGTGGGATATAATCTAGTTTTTTTAGAATAATCCTTACAGTATGATTCTGCACCACTTTTAGCTGCCCAAGATTTGAACCGTACATACCAACCTACACAAATATGCCATATATCAAAAGGGGCACCACAAGTGCTTTGTAAATCATCAAAATCTATTTTTTTTCTCAAGTACAGCACATGCTGGTCCCACTTCAAGTGCTGAACAACAACAACCCCCAAATATTTAATTTCATTTACTTCTTTCAAAGGCTGATCTATATTATCAGGCGTAATTTGACTCAATGCTGGTCTATTAGCGATTGTTTTGGAGAAGGCAATGTAATGAGTTTTCTATATTCAAAGTTAATTTGGTTCTTAAGCATTATAATGACGTTTCAGGTCTTTTTGTTATTTTAAACAATAACAATAGGGAACCTTGCCTTTGGCTCGTACGACTTGCGATAATTTTTTTGAAGTACATTTTTGTTAGCTCCGCTTCATTAATAGGTTGTCTATGCTAAGGCTGACAACACTGCTAATTCTACCCAATCCAAAGAATAGCTTTTTTACTCTTGGCTTTGTCTAAGTATGGTATATTGTGAAACTAACACCTCTAAGTCAAATCACATATAAGAAAGCTGAAACATTTTTTAACGGAAAGGTGCTACAGCTTCAGTTCACCGAAAATATTGGTCAATTATACATTGACACAGCTCCTTTCAGAATAAAACAATCTGATAAATAATCTGCTGATCAATTACGCTGATTAACGCTTTCCACAACACGTGAGAATAAAAAAAACATGTTATATGCACAAGAAGCACTTTGCATACTTACATATATACATACTTATTTTTTGTAAATATCCCAAATTGCCGTAAAAAACGCTCACATACTATATATATATATATATATATATATATATATATATATATATATATATATCAAATACCAAAAAACAGATGAAGATGTATACCAAATATAAAAAAACCCAAAAGCTTAAAAATTTTGAGATTTGCCAAAAATTGTCTCATCAAAAATTGCTTAACCTTCCGGAAGTGGCGCCTAGTCTGACAGACCCAGCCGCTCTACCATTACTCGGCATGTGTCGGCAATAATCGGTAACATCCCGCCCAGTTAAGTACCTTCCCACATAGGCCTCTAGTGTTCGCATGGCAAGCGAGACAGGTGTAGGTTAAATATTGATGCAGTTATTTTGTAAAAAGTCTGTGAGACTTGGCGCCACTACTCGCGTAACTGTTTTAGTGCTTTGTTGAAATTTGAGTCTTTTGTATTTTGGTAAGTAAATAAAGCATTATTTATTGTTATGTTGCTCGGTTAATATTTTGCATGAGAGAATATCTAGTATAATGTTAATTTTGTCATAAAAGTGTAGTTTTACATAAGTACACCAATCACATCTTCAGTAGATTATTTTATTTTTGTATAATTCATGCTCTCCACGTTATTTTTATTACTTTCAGAAATGAGTTGGGAAGCAGAGTAAAAAAGATTGCAGGCCCTATGGGATGAAGTACAACTTGAAGAAGATCCAGATGATGAGGACTTAGAGCTGGCTGCGGATGAGGACGTGACTGAAACAAGAGACACCGAGAGCGAGTCAGAGCAAGAATTTAATGATGATGTAATTTCTCTTCAAACTGCAGAAATTCCAGGAGCTCATCATTTTCTTGGTAAGGTTAATAAGACAAGATGGAGAAAACACTGCACTAAGAAAACTTCACGAACTAGACAAGAAAACATAATTGTGCGCCTTCCTGGGGAACGAGATTATGGAAAACATACTCGCTCCGAAATCGAATGCTGGTCGTTGTTTTTCTCAGATGAAATGCTCGAAGAAATAGTCGAAAAGATAAATTTGTATATTACGCGCTTATCTGAAAACTATTCCAGAGATAGAGCGGCGAAATTAACAGACTTGCTTGAAATTAAAGCACTGTTTGGTTTGCTGTACCTTGCTGGGACTCTCAAAAGTAGCAAACTGAACACGAAGGAAATTTGGGATAGACAAGGAACTGGCATTGAAAGATTTTGGGTGACAATGTCCGAGCAGCGTTTTCGAT